AAAAAATTTATATAAAAAAAAAAACCTTGACTTTGATTATTATCTTTCACTTGCTGACTTTTGTTCCTACTTGAAAATATTTTCAACTCTTAAAAGAAAATATATATATTATTTCTTTTTACAAAATACTATAGGTTTAACCTCTTTTTCTCTTCCATTAAAAAAAGCAAAACCTCTCTTTCTCATTTTGATCTCTTAATTAATACATTTCAATTTTTAAATTTCTAAATGTTTTATTTAATTTTATTTTAGAATGTTACATCCGAAATTAGGAGGTGAGAATTTAAAATTTAAAATTACGACTTTATATAAAGAAATATATATGCCTAACAACATAGCTATATTTTTGTTGGCAAATATTTTGTTGTAATTTTTCAATTATCAGATGTTTAATTTTAGTTTTCAATTCTTGTATATAAAACTATTTAAGTCTTATCATTATTCTTTTATTGATTATTTAACAACAATTAAAATCTAATTCGAAATTCAGCATCAAAATTTTGACAAATATTTTTTTACATATATCAACTCATTTAAGTAATCAAACTAAAGATATGACCTTATCATTATTTTTTTTAGATAACTTACAAAAAACAATAACAGCAAAAATTAAAAATAAGTTATTATGTAAAAATTTTTAGACTAAAATAAATTGTTGGAAAGTTTAGAACCAATAATATAACTACCAAAATTTACACACTTGAATCTTAGTTATACCATCATTCTATTACACATATACTTTTTCGAATTAAATTTATTTAGTAATAAATTTTATTTTCTACAAGAAATTTAGACCTCTTTGCCTTATTAAAAAATTAATATTTAAAAAGTACAAAACAAATTTAATATTGTTATGAAATACAGACCATAAATTTTTTTCTAAAAAAGAAAAGTTAGAAAAAATATATAAGAAGAGAATAATAAATGTTGTATATAATGTTTTGAAAAGGTATACTCCTATGGACCAATTTTTCACTCGGTCCAATAACATCAATATTTTTGAAAGAGTTTAATATTGATATTATAAATCAACAAAATATTTCTAATATATGTCAATAAAATATTAACAAAATACATTAAAAAAAATAATAAGAAGAAATTACCATATGATTTATGAACATAAATAGTACTAATAATAAATATTTGTAGCCTCATGTGAAATTTTTAAATTTATTTATCAACATTTTCATTGATCTCTCCATACAAATTGAGACCGCCACATTTTCATGAACATAAAAAACATTAAATTTTTGGGTCTAATAAGCTCAATAAAGGAAAAACAATTTTGCCAAAACAAACATAGCTCATAGTATTTGACATATATCTTTGAGTTCGATTTCTCATTGGTACACATTATACTAAAAAAAGTGAAAGAAAGAAAGCTTTAATTAAGACCGTTTCTTTCAGGCATGATATGATCACGTAACCGTAATCGTAGCCATTATAGTTCAGCTGCGGTCAATATACACGATTTCTCTTAGATCTGATTTTTCGAAAAGCTTTTGTTGTTAGTTCCTATAGCTTCTCAATTGTATTTGATAGGGAGAGAGTTTGAATTGACCCAATTATATATATATATATATATATATATATATATATATATATCTATTTTCATGCAATTTTAGGTGAGGCCTAGACTTCTTCTATGATCCATTCCGGTGTTTGCGCCATATATGTCTCTATCTCATAAAAGGAATTTGGTTTACCAATTTCAAATCTAAAATCAACCTTAGTAGTTTGGCAAGATTGAATATTTTGAATTTGGAATTTGGATGCTGAATTTTGATGTGATATTTTGTCTTTTTTAATTGGATTAAAATAAAGGGATACTGTTTTCTTTTACTCTCTTGTGAGGACCAAGAGGGTTTTTTTGGTTGATCTAATTTCCTAACTTGTTTCAACTATCAAAATGGTTCAACGTCTCTTTTGACTTATTGGGATCCTACCTTTTTGGCATAGCCTAGAGCAAAGATTGGGCTTTGGCTCCACTACAAATGACACCATTCGCTTGACCAAATTAAATTACTATGTGAGAGTATTAGGTTTAAGGCTTGCATTGAATTATATGATGTCTAGAAATAGAGAGTATTTACGTTTTGTTTATTGTTTCTTAGCGGCATGTTCTTATAGAAAGATGTATGGTTGTTCTTATAGAAAGATTACTAAAGGAAGGCGGCTTAATATATCTTTGTTTGAGGGGAAGATTGTTGAGGGTGCAACAACAAGTGCTGCCATGCTGGTTATCCCACAATGTGATCGTGGTTAAGATTAGATATGCTACGTACTCTACGGAAGAGAAGTCGATTAGAACAAGAGCAACCTCTCAATGTGCTTGAGAGTCACTTGATAGAAGACTATTTGAAGAGAGACTTGGTGGTTTATTTGTTCTTGTGGATGTTTATTAAGAATGCACATAAAGTTCGACATAAGTTAGAAGTGGAGAAGATTTGTGATATATAAGGAATAAAAATATCTTTATTGGCATGAGACCATGTAAAACTAAAAGTAAGTCCTACAAACTTAGGTTCAAAATAGACCATATCTTATGGTGTGTTTGGGAGTGAGGGTAGAATTAGTGATTTTGAAAAAATAGATTTAAGTATAGTTAATTCTTCAAAATTATCATCCAGTCATACCTTAAAAATCAATTTAAAGTGATTTTCAGTTTTCTTAGAATCAATTTTTTAATTCGCCAAATATTATCAATAGAAAAGGATGGAAGTAATTTTGATAATGGCAAAAATGCAAAAATTACTCACAAACACATTCTTATTCTGTAACTTTGTCGGAATAAGAAATAAAAAGATTGTATGTGTTTTGAAATACCATAACCACATAATTTTTATGTTAAATTCCTATCAAGTTCCCACAATAGTAAAAATATCTTGAAATTCATTCTACCTAACAAAAGTAAATAAACCAACTACCTATAGATACTTTACTAGCTCATTCACCTAAGTAGCTTTAAAATAATAATTAATAATTTTGCCCACCTAAAAATTGAAATAAAAAATTGGCTAAGTATCACCTTCATCATTGGGCCGACCCACAGAAACAAAGGTCCGAGCCCAAATCCTAGGGACCATAAGCATTGTTGTTTGGGTTGGACTTGGGCCGACTCAAACACTAAAACTTAGGCCCATGGTCCAAGCAATAAACCTAAATCAATGGGTCAAAGTCAAATAGGGCTTGGATCCGCTTTTTGAATCCGACTTGAATTAGCATATATAATAAATTAGTTTTTTATTATTAAATTATTTTTTATATTTATTCAAACCATGTTTGTGCTTTTATTTTATGCTTTTATACTATTTTTTTTACTTTTTAAAAAATTATCAACAAATTTTGTTATATCATATTTTTACAACTTAATTTATTTGATCTTTTAAAGAAATAAATTGTATTACTATATTAATGTTCAAAAAAAATTAGAGGAATGAGAATAACAAAAAAGAATTAACCCGATTTGGCCTTTTGGCTGGCTCAGCGAGCTGATCAAAATAAGGTCCAAATGGACCAGTCTAATTTGAAAAACAAAGATCCATATCCAATCCAATTTTTAGATGGATTGGGCTGGACCGGGACGGGCCAGACCTGTCAAATATTGGCCTTGGACCAGACCTTTGAACTTTGAGCTGAATGATAAGGCTAAGCTAAGTATACGTTTGACGCCTTAATGTTTTGGTATTTTTTATTTTTCAGTTTAGTTCTTATTGTTAAAATGTTTCAATTTTATATATTTTGTTTGAAAAAATTTCAATTATATCTTTTTATTGTCAATAAATATTAAAATTGACTAATTATAAGTATATATGACATGATACATGCAACCTGTTTGGATCACATATATAATGGTTATTAAATATGTGGTTTTTGAATAAGGGATCGAATTCACAATCTCTTGATTGAAAATATATGCTAATTACCATTGAACTATGATCAATTATATCTTTTGATTCATTGCATAGATTTTGCTCATGAAAAAATAATTAAAATTAATAATTTTTATCGAAACAAATATGTCAATTAATTAATTTAATGAATAATTACTTAAAGTAATTAAATTTAATATAGAAATTATTTTACGAGTATATTTCCCACTTGGACTTCCAAATTAGACTTGGAGCTGCATGCCTATATTATTTGATGAGCAAAGATTCCATCTCCCTTCTAATATCTTCTATGAAACATGTAGACTCCCAAATGTCCACATCTATGAAGGATCCTGCATACTCTTTGAAAGGAGACTAAATTAAAACAT